TATATAAATATATATATATATATATATATATATATATATATATATATATATATATATATATATATATATATATATATATATTATTATATATAATAATTTAATCCCATGTTCTTTCTCAGCATTTATACTGCTCGTCTAAAACTTGCTCCCTAAAGCAGCTGAGGCGTGTGTGTGTGTGTGTTTGGTCAGTCGGTGACAGCAGGCCGTGGATCAATAAGGCCGCAGTGGTTAGTATTGTGTGAATATGCGAGGATCATGGGAAAGGGCTGCGCTGCGCTCTCATTGGTCAGAGTCACGGTCAGGGTCAACCCCCAGTCACATGACCTCTGACCTCTGGCTTGGACACAATGACCTCTGCTCCCCCAAAAGCAGATCTGATCGAACATGCAGAAGAGCTTTTAATGTCAGTGCTTGATAAGACTCGCACAGCTGATTCAGCTCAAATAAACACTGCTGCTCTACACGTTACACTGATCACTGCTCATCTGAATCAGCGCTCAGTAGACTTTCCCAAGTGCATTTCTGCTACTAGCTTAGCCTTTTTTTATTATTATTTTATTATTCTTTAAAATGTTTTTTTTTTTAAGTTTAAAGTAAAATTACTCTGTATAGCTCATTAAATGTGCACAAAATAAGGGTTTTAATATAGAGAAATAGTTATAATACAGAATATTAATATATACATCTTAATATAAAAGGTCAGATTCTACAAAGTGAACACTAATTGTGTGTGTGTGTGTGTGTGTGTGCACAATTATATCCTGCAAGACATTTCATCTTGTTTACCTGTAAAATTATCTATAAAATACAACATTTTAACACAATAATCGCTTCTCTCCCCATAAAAACAAGGTGTTATGTTAAAAATATTTTCATTTTAAAGTATACACCCATAGTAAAAGCCTTTAAATGCACACTCAAACAAATATTGCTATATAAAGTGGTGTTTTCTGACATTCATCAGCCAATAATGAATAAATCCCTGAATCTGTTCAACATCATTTAGGAAATATTTAAAAAAGAGAAAATAATTCAAAGGGTCCGAATAATTCTGACTTCAACTGTATATATAGTAAATTAATCTAGTTTAATTTATATTTAAATAATATAAATAAATATTTATTAATATATACCAAATACAAATTCAATAACATCTATGCTTGTTTTCTATTCTAATGTTTTCAATCCTTTGTGTGTGGCAGAATTATTCGCCCCCTTTGAATTTTTCTTCTTCTTTTTTTTTTTTTTTTAAATATTTCCCAAATGATGTTGAACAGATTGAGGAAATGTTCACAGTATGTCTGATAATATTTGTTCTTCTGGAGAAAGTCTGATTTGTTTTATTTCGGCTTGAATAAAAGCAGTTTTTAATTTTTTAAACACCATTTTAAGGTAAATATTATTAGCCTTTGGAAGCTATATATTTTATTCGATAGTCTACAAAACAAACCATCGTTATACAATGACTTGCCTAATTACCCTAACCTGCCTAGTTACCCTAATTAACCTGGTTAAGCCTTTAAATGTCACTTTAAGGTGTATAGAAGTGTCTTGAAGAATATCTAGTCTAATATTATTTGCTGTCATCATGACACAGAGAAAATACATCAGTTATTAGAGATGAGTTATTAACACTGTTATGATTAGAAATGTGCTGAACAAATCTGCTCTCCGTTAAACAGAAATTAGGGGAAAAATTTACAGGGGGGCGAATAATTCTGACTTCAACTGTATGTATGTATATATATAAGAAATGTACACACGCGCACAATTAAACCCATATTCCATTATTTTTAGCAATGTTTGTCACATTTACATACTATTTTTCATTTAATACATCATTTAGTACATCAAAATAGCTTAAAGGGGCTAATAATATTTACCTAAAAATGGTGTTTAAAAAATTAAAAACTGCTTTTATTCTAGCTGAAATAAAACAAATCAGACTTTCTCCAGAAGAACAAATATTATCAGACATACTGTGAACATTTCCTCAATCTGTTCAACATCATTTGGGAAATAATTAAACAAACAAACAAAAAAAAAAAAGTTAGAAAGGGGGTGAATTATTCTGAATTCCACTGTGTGTGTATATATATATATATATATATATGTGTGTGTGTGTGTGTGTTCTTTTTAATGTAAGCTTTATAAATGCTTTGGGAATACATTTGTCACGCCAATAAAGCAATTATTGAATTAAATTGAGACAGAGAGAAAAGAGAGAGAGACTAAAGGACTGACTTGAAAATTAAGTTCAACTCAATTGGTGGATTAACAGGCTAATTATCAAAACACAAATAAAAAATAAAAAAAGAAAGACACACAAAAAAGACACAATGCTTTCCTGAACTGATGTCTGATCTCAGTTTGTAGTGAAATTATTTCTCCAGGTGGATTTAAATACATGTTATAGTGAAAAACGCTGCTGTTTTCTGGGATCCCATCATGCTTTGCTTTCTGCTGCAGTGTCAGCCACCAGAGGGTGCCAACACACACACACACACACACACACACACACACACACACACACACACACACACACACACACACACACACACACACACACACAGTGTTGTTTAAAAAATGTTTATTGGCTTTTAAAACCACTTAAAAAATCTCACCTGCGAGTACTTTCCATTGGAAAAACAAAAAGAAAAGAACGAAACATCGCTGAAACGCTTTTGCAATATTAACAAGCTACTGTCCACATGGAGCAGATAAACAGCACATCAGAGGCTCAAACCTACAGACCACCGCCATCCCTGCGTATCAAAAGAGGACTGGAAATTAAAAAAACAGAATTGATCAGTGCCTTCATAACATAAAAAATATGTACAGCTTTCTTCACATAGGCGTTTTCTCATATATATTTATATTTATATCAAAAAAGAAAGAAACATTCATCAACAGAAACACTTAACTTAGTAAACATCTTAAAATGCATATAGCTTTTGAAGAACTACTTCTCGTCCCGCTCGGATTGGCTAAAGGAGTGTCACAACGAATACTACCATAGATACATGCGCACATACAGTCGATTTCAACACGGTGAAGCATGTCGGCTTGTTTTCAATCTCATAGGTTCATATTTTCTTCTCAGGTACGAGAAGTCGTACAACGCGGATCTCATTGAGATTAGAGCTCATTGCTACACAAGGCAATCGTTTCCTAGCGCGAATAATAATTCCCCATTTATTGTCTTTAGTAACGTGGGCACCAATTGTTTCCTAAAATAACACAAACAAACTTTTTAGTGCAATACGATGAACGTTTGTGTCTGAATGTCAAACCGTTTCCAGTGTCTTCTGCTCCTCTGATTCGTCTCTGCACACAACATCTAGCTAAAAATTCGTTATCTAATTTCTCCATACATCCATGCTATGTTATCCTCTCTCCATGTACACGTCACATCTGCGAACGCAGAACCTAAGAAAAATGGTACATTAGCAAGCTACAGATCCAACAGACAGCGTTTACTTACTAGCACATCACGGAAAGCCAGAAACGGAACAAGCGAAATATCGTGCTGGCGTTTTCTTCAATGTTTTCTTAAGGGCACTCGAATCTACCTACCGTTAGCGTCTCGATAAAATGGAAATCTCATGATGACCACTATGTCCTTTGTACAAATGTCGCACTACCTTGAACTTGTACAACATGCTCCCCCCATCCACCTGTACATCCGCCGTATACACAATTTACACAAATACTACTACTTGCCTAACAAAATGAAAACGAACACTGTGGCGTCCCTAAAAAAATCCCTTTCAGATGGAAACCGCATCTTTTGTTCTTCGACAGCTTCTCTTTGGTATGGAGTTAAGGCCGGAGAAACTACACAGGTTGTTGTTTATATATTTATAGATATATATATATCTAGCCATCACCATACCATTGCGACTATCGGTTTGAAATGATGCGCTAAACAAGGTGCGGAAACCTACAAAGTGGCTTAATCGCAACAAAAACATTGTTTTTTTAAGTGCACCAAGTTTGACCTTTTAAGAAATTCTTGAAGCCTTGTATGAGGTGGAAAATAAGGCCTTAGACTCTGGAAATAAGGCAGACGAGTCTTCGCTTCAGCCCTCTCCGCCCCAAAAAAATTGATAGCAAAGATCTCATCCCTCCCCAATAGTTTGGATTTAACAGTACGAGTATTATGGCCTTAAATAGCTTTTTCCCCGAAATCACTTTGACAAAACAAATGACAGCTGATGTAAATGCGATTCAGCACCAAGTAGCACCTAAAATCTCCGCAGTTCATTGAACTGACTGGTTTAGGATATGTAAATGCGATATTTCAGCTTTGCCGATATTTGGGTACACTCCTACCAAACTCGAAATTCCAAAGATACTTGAAAAGGTGTTTCCTCAGAGTCAATGATTTGTCACTTGGAATATTGCATTTTGTTGAAATACAGGAGCAAAATATGCATGCAGGTCCACTATGATTCTAGTGGAAAAATGTTAAATCAAGCTAAGCTTGTGCACCAGATGATGTACTTGTCTACCAGTTGGAACCCGAAGAAATATTCGACCATCTACCACTACATGGGGAGAAATGACTGGAATGATCTCTGAAATCATACGACAAGAATACAAGTAAAACGACTGTAAAAAATTCAGCCTCAGACTGGCACTTCACACTGGACAGTCCAAAGCGTCCAGATTTTTGCTGAACAGACACGTCATTCAATATTTTAGGATACACAAAACATCGCAATACAAAAAAAAAAAAGAAACATTGAACGGAAACCATAAATATTACCAACAACGACGACAGAAACATCGACAGTAAAAGGATCAGGAATTAATATTATCCCAACATTTCCACTGTTGGCTGGTCTTTATTCTCCAGCCAATCAAAACCAGCAGAGTTCACAGTATCGCTGCAAATCTGCTGAAACAGAGGATCGTTCTTAAGTTCTTCCAGTGTGGCGTCTTCATATTGGTCCTGCTGTTGACTGGGGTCAAACAGCAAGTTGGGGTCCAAAGTGTTCAGGTCGTTAATGCTACTAGTAAGGTCTGAAGTTAAGCGGATATCGCTAGAAAAGTCAGAGGCGACAGCACTGAGTTCTGAAGCCACCTGTCCGACCAGTTGCGAGCTGGGATTGAGGCTGTCCTCCCCCAGAAGATCCTTGACAGTAGTGTTGAAGTCCAGTTGCTCCTGCTGCTCCTGATCCACAACCTGTTGTGAGGTCTGGGACAACAAGTGCTGCTGGGGATCATTTTGTAACTGTTGTTGGTCCGACAACTGCAACTGCTGGTCCTGTAGTTGCAATTGTTGGTCTTGAAGATGCAGCTCTTGCTCCTGCAGTTGTAATTGCTGATCTGGAAGCTGCAGTTGTTGACTCTGGAGTTGCAGCTGTTGCTCCTGCAGTTGCAACTGCTGATCTGGAAGCTGCAGTTGTTGATTCTGGAGTTGCAGCTGTTGATCTTGCAGCTCTAGCTGTGGTTCTTGGAGCTCAAGCTGCTCTTCTGTTGGTTGCAGTCCTGGGCCTGATTGTGCTTGGGTCTCACCACTGGAGTAGGCGACTTGCTCTTCCCCCGTGCTCATGAGGTAACCTGTCTTCTGGAAGTCAAAAGGCGAAGGGCTCGAGTCCAGAGGGAGCTGCTGGTTTTGAGAATTTGGGCCTACAGGAAAGCCTTGTGTTGTTTCCAAGATCTGGGTTAAGTTCATCCGCGCTGTGTAGTTGGCCGGCAGGTTATTTACACCAAGCCCTCGTACTGCATCGTCTCCATCGGTGTCCATTTTGCTGAGGAGCACGGTGGTGATCTTGGCACTATTGCTTTGCTGTGCCTGGTGACTGACGGGCAGCAGTTCAGACTGCATCATGATGTTTAGTGGCACCGATTGACTCCTCTGGGCCAAGCTGCTGGCACTGACCACAGACTGGCTGTTGGACAGAATATTCAGGACCTCAGATGTCAGGGGGCAGTTAAAGGGAGAAACAACAGACCGTGGGGCGGTGGTGACTGTTTGTGCAGTGGTGCCACTAAGGTTGCGCTGGCGAACTGCCGGGCTAACGCTGCGACACCGGAATGTTCCACCTCCAGATGCAGTTGTGCTTCCTGCCCCTTTATTGTCTAATGGAGCTGGGACTGCAAAACTTTCCTGCTTGCTACTAAGGGTGGTTTGCTGTCCTTGTTGCACGGGAGAAACAGTTGCTAGCCTTCCCAAGTTTCCATCCTGATGCCTTGACTGAGACTGGAGGGTTTGGCCTGGAATGGCAAAGGCGTGTGGTTTGCGAAAGTGGTCCTCGACCAGGTCTTGGTAACTGGGCAGAATGCCAATAGTGGAGTTGGTGGAGATAACAGGAGACCCTGCAGTGCTGTTGTACCTGTTGTTAATCCACTCCAGCTTGGCTTTATCTGGGTGGGTGGCCATTGGCCTCTGCATGGGTTTCACTGGACTGCTGGATACAACGCTACCATCATGATAGCCAGTTATACTGGAGTTGATAGGGGTAAATGCAAATGGATTGCGACATTCAATGGGGCTTGGAGGAACGCTGCTGCTGCAGTTTGACAGTGGAGTGCTGATAGGTGTATGGCGCCCACCTAAGATGCTGTCCACTGGTGTAACAGTTGCCATTCGGGAACAAGGGCTTTCTCTGGTCAAGCTATGACCCCCTGGTAGAATTTCGGAGGTAGGAGTTGGAGTAGGAGTAGGTGTTGGTGTAGGTGTCGGAGTTGGTGTGTGGACTGGCGTGGTGCTACTGTGAGAGGAATGATAGAACTGTGTATTTGTCTGATGGGGTGACAGAATCGCTCCTTGGCCAACTGTGGCTTGACCTTGTATGGATATATCCACACAATTTAGGTAGGACTGCAAGCTGCTATTCAACTTCATCTGTTCCTCCATCTGTACAAGCTCTTCAACAATACTATCCTGGGTCATATCATCATCATTGAAGGGGAAATAGTCAATGCTAGCTTGGGATCCTGCAAAATCAACAATGTCCTGCTGAAGGGTGAGCTGACTGGAGGTCTCAGATGCTTGGGTCATCATTGGCAATGGGTTAGCTGCAATCTGCTTGTGTTCTGCTTGAATCTGTTGCGAGTAGTCCTGCAGTGAGCTCTTCAGCTCGCTTACCGCAGATACCTCCTGAGAAACGGCACTGCTTATTTGTTGGTGGCTTGGGATTTGCTGGAGTAAAACTGTGCTATTACCAGAAGCCATTTCGTCCGAGCTAATATCAGCAACGTCATTCTCCATCTGCGTAGTGCTCTGAGCATTAACAGTCTGAGAGGTGTCCAGAACTCCAATGGGAGTGTCAGAGAGAGCCAAGATTTGAGTCGGAAGAGAGCTACTATGTTTAAGTGTGACTTTGCATGGAGCGCTCTCTGGTCTTGCCGGGGTGCCAGGTCTCTGGATCCTTTTAGCTGCTATTACAAGACCAGGCTTGGCATTACTGCTAACATCCAATGGCTGCTGGGAAATGAATACTCTTTTAACTGGGATTGTATGGGTTTCCAAAACAGATGCAGAGCGTTTTCGAGGGCTTTTTGAACCAAGCACAGCATCTTTAGAAGTGCTTGCAGTTGCCACCGCACAAATGGATGACAATTCGGCGTCTACATTCTGGCTAGTAACAGTTAAATACAAAGTACTTTCCTGTTGATCGTTGTTGTTATTATTGCTGCTTGGGGCAAGAGCCCCCATGATTGTACTTGAAGGGGCTGTAGAGTCACTCTTGGCCCTTGTCACTCTCTCAGGCACAGGGGACGCCTTAATAAGAAGAGAAGGTTCACTGGAAGCCCTGAATTTAGTGGCTCTTTCGTTCTTTAGTCCTGTACTTGCCCCTGATGCAGTGCTTTGTTTATCAGCAGCGGTAGCCGAGTCATTCACAGCTTCAAATGTTACTTTCACCTCACTGGTAGCGGTGGGTGCTGATATGGTTGGGTTTGAAGAAAGACGCCCAGCTTTCCCAAGTCCAGATGACATGACAGACGCCCCATTCTGAGCTTGGTTAGATTCTTCCAGGGAGGCTGTACTACTGATTCCGGTTGAGGCAGGTCGTAACGGGGTAGTAGTACTACTGCTATTAGGTGCAAGTGATATTGCAGTCATCTTGACCACATTTACAGAACTTACATGGGACGTGGGCATCACTGTCTTAATTGGGCTGTTGGTGATGAGGAGTGTTGGGGGCGAACGGAGTGCAATGGCGCTTGTGGCAGAAGGTTTAGGTAAAATCTGGGCATATCGGTGTCTGGCCAACCGGTCACCAACTGGGCTGGCAGGGATATTCTGGGGTGTTTTCGGGGACTGCTTAACAGGTTGTGTCACGACCTGGAAGTTAACGGGAACAACTTTTCCTTCCGCTGCTCCAACAGGACTTGGGGAGGTCATCAGTTGACGGTTTCTCTGAACCTACAAAACAAAACACTAGTTCAAACAATTGTCCATTCATCAAGGTTAAATTTGAAGCAGTACATTTAGTATATTATATTACATATTAAAGCAGGGTTTTCAAACCAGAATCTCCTTACCGTGATAGGACTCGGAACAGCAGCGACAACAATTCCTATGGTTGGTTGAGGGGACAGCAGTGCAGGACTTGAAGAAGTCAAGCTGGATCCAGGTACAGGTGTACCCGCCTCTGCCCTTCTGGCCTGGGCATCCATGGGCAATGGAGAAGTGAGTTTCTGCTCCTGCTGTTTCTTCTGGATCTTCCGCTGCAGCTGCTGTTTGGCGTCGACAGAAGGTGAAGGAAGGGTCTTCACTTGGGGCTGGAATGAGTTGGCTTCAGCAGTTGGCACAAAAGCAGAAGCTGGCGTTGGGGTTTTCATACCTGTCATTATTTATCAAACATATTAAAAAAAAATTAACATAGACTTCGGAAAAATCTGTTGTTCAGTCTAATCGTACATAAAGTAGGTCAAGGGTGCCCAATTCTACTCCTGAAGGTCCGACACCATTCAAATTTGTACTTTGCCTACTTATAAGCCTAGAACTTACTATTGAGAGCTTGATAACTATCTTAAAGGGTGCAGTATGCAGGATTGACAAAATATTGAACAGGTTTTTTCACCCGGTCACTCATCTGACCACTCGACGAACTCGCAGGTTGCCAGATTGATGACACAAATAGGAGCAAGCATTGCTGACGATTGAGCCTTACTGTAAGCTGCTCAACTAAAGCTTACATTTGTAATATTTGTATTTGTTTTATGCTGTGTGTATTTAGGACAGGAGCAAATCTGTGCTCCAGCAATAGGTTTGGGCACCCCTGATGTAGGTAATTTTTTTACACTTGCCTGTTGGGGTTCCAGTCATAACAGTAAGAGCTGCCATGGACTTAGTGCCTATATAATGACTGTTGAGAAGAAAGCGTGCCAGTTCCTCCACACTGTCAAACTGGCGGCTCAAAACCTTCTGAGCCCATTCGCAAACCAGACCGCAGGCTGCAGAGCGCATCTCATCCTCCGCACTAGGAGACTGTCCTGCCGACTCCAACAATTCACACTAAAGAAGTGCAAAGAGATAAGACGGGGATCTTCTTATCAATAATGCATAGTGTACAAATGTAATAACGACACTGAGAACTGATAGAAATCTCTTGTTTTTGATTCAGCAGGAGCAGAACACTGACCCCATCCCCTGATTTGTGTAAGTCCAGGTTAGGGAGCGACGGCATGTGCACAAATGCTTTTTTCCTCAGCCCACTGTAGCAGTATGTGATGCATTGTAAAGGATAAAAACACATCTTATGACATTTGAACAATGCATACAAACATTTGCATATGTAAATGTGTCAGAATTGACCACAGAAAAGGATATTTTGATTTCCCCCTCATGCCCAAACGCCGTGCCTTCATATTCGGAAAAACGTTTTTCATGATCTTTCCAAAATCAGCTGCGCTTAAAGGATGGTAACCCAGATTGTCGCAATAACTCCTGCAACACAGCATGAAAACAACCGATGAGTACAAGCAACTCAATTTCTGCCGTTGTGTTTCAGAGCCGTGTCCAAGCACTCACTTGTATTCATCGTACACCTCTTGTTTTGGCAGTGAGGTTTCCGGGTGCTCTTCCAGATGATTTCGGATCCAGTTAAACGCGTACATTTGTTGAGTCCGACTGGACGACATGGAATTCTGGTCACTATTTGGAAAGCAGAGAAAAAAAAAGGCCTGAACTTGTGATGTTGGTGCACCAGACAATGGGCCTCATTCATGAAACATGAGCAGAGCGAAGATTTCTCTAAATTGTTCGTAAAGCTGTTCTGATGTTAATTTTCGGTTCTCAAGAAAGTGTTCGTATTGTTTTAAATGTAAGTTGTTAAATAAGCAAATTTGCACCTGATGCCGACCACATGCAAATCTGTGTAAATGGATTTCATTAAGCTGAGGTTGGATAACTGCAAATTTGGATAATGCCGTCTAAAAGTACAGTTCTTGTATCGAACAGTATGTGTGTCGTATAGTACGTGGATCGAACAGTACTTGTATCGTATAGTACTTGTATCAAACAGTACTTGTACGATGACTGTACAACAAAGGAGATTACTTGCAGTATCTAGTAATATTCTTCATAAGACACTAGTAATTCATTTATTAGCAACATAATTCCCACCAAAAGCATACTCGGGCACCACCTGCTGGATATTTATAGAAGATGCATCAGTGGACACCTTATTAAATGTTTATTTTGTAATGCATGTATATTATTAGCGGAAAATCGTTCCTTATTTACGAATGACTGGAATTCATTAACATAAGCGTATCAAATTTGAATGAGTAAATTAGCGCAAAATCGTTCCTTAATTACAATCGACTGGAATTCATTAGCATAAATTTTTCAAATTTGAATTAGTAAATTAGTATGAAGTCGTTATTGAATGTTTAATGTTAGGCAAATTACTTTTGACTACATTTATGATATACATATATATTGGAACCTTGTCTTGGAAAGCAGTCAAGTATATTCCACTGCGTTCCTGCACACGTAACTTATGTAGTTGTAATCTATATGTGCGAATTATGCTAATGTGAAAGAGAGTGCACTCATGCCTTATTTCCGAAATTAGTATGAAGTCGTTATTGTATGTTTATTGTTAGGCATATAACTTTTGACTACATTTATGATATATATATATTGGAACCTTATCTTGGAAAGGAGTCAAGTATATTCCACTGCGTTCCTGGTTACAAAACTTACGTAGTTGTAATTTATATGTGCGAATTATCTAATGTGAAAGAGTGCGCACTCATGCCTTATTTCCGAATTACAGGAATTCATTAACATTAATGTTTAACTGTCAAATTTGTTAACGAATTTATGAATCTTGAGAAGAGATTTTAGTAAGATCTGTATTACGAATCTATTTACTATTTAGCAATTTATAGGCGGGGCTTATTCTAATGTAAATGAGCCTGAAGTCACATCTTATTTACGAATGACTCAGATTTATTCATTAGCATAAACGTTTTCAAATCTGAATTAGCAAAGTTTCAAATCTAAATTAGTGTATTAGCACACAATCGTGCCTTGTTTACTAATGACTGGAATTCAATCATGAGTAAACGTTTGAGTATCAAATTTATTTAATTAGGGAAGTATCAAATCTGAATCATTGAATTAGAATGCAATCCTACCTTATTTACGAGTGACTGAAATTCATTCATTAGCATAAACGTTTAAATTAACGTGCAAGCTTGCCTTATTTAGGAATGACTAGAATTCATTCATTAGCATAAATGTTAAGGTATTAAAACTGAATTAGCGTGCAATCATGCCTTATTTTCGAATGACTGGGATTCATCTATTAGCAAAAATGTTTAAGTATCAAAAATGAATTAGCGAAGTATAAAAATCTGAATTAGTGAATTAGCACGCAATCGTACCTCATCTACAAATGAGTGGAATTTACTTATTAGCATAAACAATTAAGTATCAAATCTGAATCAGTGCAAATTTGGCTTATTTACATATGACTAGAATTCATTCATTTGCATAAATGTATTAAATTTTAATTAGTAAATTAGCGTGCAATCGTTCCTTATTTACGAATGATGGAAACTCATTTATTAGCATAAACATTTAATTATGAAATCTGAATTACTGAATTAACGTGCAATCGTTCCTTGTTTACGAATGACTGGAATTCGTTCATTAGCATAAACGTATCAAATCTAAATCAGTAAATTAGCGTGAAATCGTTCCTTATTTACAAACAACTGGAATTCATTAACATAAACATATCAAATTTTAATTAGTAAATTAGCACAAAATCGTTCCTTATTTACAATCGACTGGAATTCATTAGCATAAACTTTTCAAACTTGAATTAGTAAATTAGCGTGAAGTCGTTCCTTATTTACGAATGACTGGAAGTAATTAGCATAAATGTATCAAACTTGAATTAGTAAATTCGCGTGAAATCGTTCCTCATTTACGAATGACTGCAATTCATCAGCATAAACAAATCAAATTTGAATTTGTAAACTAACGTGAAATCGTTCCTTATTTACGAATGACTAGAATTTATTAGCATAAACGTATGAAATTTAAATTAGTATATTAGCGTGAAATCGTTCCTTGTTTACGAATGACTGGAATTCATTAGCATAAATAAATTAAATTTGAATTAGTAAACTAGTGTGAAATCGTTCCACATTTACGAATGACTGGAATTCATTAGCAGTAATGTATCAAATTTAAATTAGTTAATTGGTGTGAAATCATTCCTTATTTACGAACGACTTGAATTCATTAACATAAACGTATCAAATTTGAATGAGTAAATTAGCGTGAAATCATTCCTTATTTACGAACGACTTGAATTCATTAGCATGTTACAGTATATTAGCGTGAAATCGTTCCTTGTTTACGAATGACTGGAATTCATTAGCAGTAATGTATCAAATTTAAATTAGTTAATTGGTGTGAAATCATTCCTGATTTACGAACGACTTGAATTCATTAACATAAACGTATCAAATTTGAATGAGTAAAATAGCGTGAAATCGATTCCCATTTACGAATGAGTTAATAGTAAAATCTGATGTTTGCGAATTGATTTACAGAGTTTCCGGTTGGATCTGTATCACGCAGAACTGCTTCCCACACATTTCCGTATGTTTCATGAATGAGGCCCACTGTGTGTACGTTTCTTAGTCCTGTATAAGTGTTTTCCCGTTAATATAGTTAAAGTTGTAGTACCATAATGCAGGACTTGCAGAGCCCCTCTGATTCTCAGTTCTATTGGACATCATGTTGGGGAAGAGGGGTTGACATGATGGACAGATAAGGGGAAACAAATGATGAAACATAAGAAGCCTGGTACTGCAATGTCATAATTTACACAAAAAATCTATGCAAATGGTGAAATGATTAGCTCAACGCCACAATAAACGCAAGAAAAATCAGCAGATATTCATGTTTCACTGAACGCAAACATGAGTGGGTCATAAACATCAGACATATATATGCTGTGAGTGCGTTTGATATCGCAAAAGCACAGAATCATGACTTGTGATGTATTCAAATCATAAAAGGAGGGGAGGGGGATATGGAAATTAATAATTAGCATATATTTAGAAACTGATTTGTACCTTTTGTCATTGCCACCACTGGGACCAGAAGGCAACTTAAGGTAGAGGTAGAGCTTTTCGATATCTGTAAACTTCTCCACATCTTGCTGTATGCAGGAACAACACAAATATATTTGGAGTCATAAGTTTAGCATTAAACAATACAGTAATGCAGAGGTAATAAATACAGTAAATGTGTTAAACATCAGGTATATACAGTGCATCCGGAATAGTATTGATAGCACTTCACCCTTTTCCACATTTGTATATGTTACAACCTTATTCCAAAATGGATTAAACTGATTGAATTTATAAATATACATTATAAGTGCACTGTATTGTGATTAATTGTAAATAGTGTACTTAATATTTGCATGCATTATTAATATGGTGTTTTCAATATTGATTGTGTAACATATTGAGTTATTTTACCCATACAAGACTGTTCCTGAAGAATAATTACAGCATTTCAAGCATTTTGTACAGTAGACATGTATAATTGTGTGTAAAACGTGTAACAGAAAGACAAGATTTGGTTTTTAATTCTACAAATGATCAACATTTCTGTTGCAACTTTAGAATTTACAACTTTTTATGCAAATAAAAATATGAAAATGCATAATCTGGGTATTATGAAGCAAAGTAAAGTCAATGCATATTACACAATTAACCCATTTTAAATGAAAATAAAATGCAAAATAAAAAAGATGCAACCTGCTACCTACTTTTCCATGAAACTTCATGTTTTATTATGATGAATATTTCTTATGAATAAAAAACATGATTTTTTGGCAGTAATTTTTATTTACAGCTCAAAATTAATATAACTAAATAAATTAAATTCTGATTATGCACAATAACATTCAAAAGAAGTAAAATATGACACTTTATTTTATTCAATATTTTTTTTATTTAATGAATCAATTTACCTTAAATTAAATTAATCAGTAATTTTACCTTTAAAAAACTCAAAATATTATGTATTTTTAAACTAATTTTGTTATAAAAATAATCAGAAAATGAAATTGATTTTGTTTTAATATGTCTCAATTTCAAACCTAAATGCCATGATAAAAGTCTGCATTACAGCAGATCTGCTCATGTGCTGTCTTCTGAGTGCCCTCAGCAGAAATGCACACCAACTCTGCTCTCCTCTGGTTGCCATGTAAACCCTGACAGTAAACACGCTGACACTTAGCACCGGATCCGCCCACCAGGCATTCCCATTGGCTGGAGAGAATGAATTCCTCTCACTGCGCCTTATTCTATTGGACTGTGTGTTGCTAGGAGAAACGGCACTCATGAATGGGGAGAGGATCAACAGCCAATAAAATAGACAAGAAGAGCTTATAAACGCATCTGCTTACTGCTGCCGATATCAGTCCCTCTGCTTTATTAATCAATGCAGTTACTGATGATACAATATCACATCTGATGGAGCCCTCATCAAGTCTGATTGGCTGTACAGCAGCAACAGGTGCTTTAACTGTGCGTTTCATTCATTCATTTTCCTTCGGCTTAGTCCCTTATTCATCAGGGGTTGCTGCAGCGGAATGAACCGCCACTATTCCAAGATGTTTTACACAGCGGATGCCCTTCCAGCTGCAACCCAATACTGGGAAACACCCATGCACTCACTCAAGAACACACACATACGCACACACATGCACACAACGACCAATTTAGTTGATCAGTTCCCCTATAGCGCATGTGTTTGGACTGTGGGGGAAACCGGAGCACCCGGAGGAAACCCACGCCAACACAGGGAGAACATGCAAACTCCACACAGAAACACACACTGACCCAGCCGGGACTCGAACTAGCGACCTTCTTGCTGTGAGGAAACGGTCATGATCAGTCATGAAGTCATTAAATGAATGTAGATATCTTTCATGTAGCGTGTTTTGTTTGTATTAAAAAGCTCTATAATAAAACACCAATAATCAGTGAACAGTTGCATGCACCTATAGATAATATATATAATTCTTCCATTTATTAGAACTGTATGCTCATCAAGCAACACTGCAACTTTAATATTCAGTGCATCTGCATTATAAACAAGCACACCGTCTGCTAAAGAAAACATAATGAAGAGATGAGAAGCTCACCAATATACTCTCCACTTTTGATTGTACAGATTTGCTGTAAAGAAGAAGAACAGACTTTATTAGGGGTTTGAGGAACAGCATTGAATTCATGCATGCAATCACAGAGAACCCATGGCTAATGACATCAGAAATCAGACATCATGCTATTAGCACATTAGAAATCAGACATGCCAATGCAATGACATCGGAAATCAGACATACTATTAGCACATCAGAAGTCAAACATGCTAAATCAGACATACTAAAGCAATGACACCAGCTATCAGACATGCTAAATCAGACATGCTAATGCAATGACATCAGATTCAGACCAACAAATGTAATGACATCTGAAATTAGACAGGCTAAATCAGACATGCAATTAGCACATCAGAAATCAGACATGATATTAGCACAATGGAAATCAGACATGTTCAATCAGACATGATATTCGCACATCAGAAATTAAACATGCTAAATCAGACATGCTATTAGCACATCAGAAATCCGACATGCTATTAGCACATTAGAAATCAGACATGTTCAATCAGACATGATATTCGCACATCAGAAATTAAACATGCTAAATCAGACATGCTATTAGCACATCAGAAATCAGACATGCTATTAGCACATCAGAAATCAGACATGTAAATCAGACATGATATTCGCACATCAGAAATTATTCATGCTAAATCAGACATGCTATCAGCACATCAGAAATCAGACATGCTATTAGCACATCAGAAATCAGACATGCTAAATCAGACATGATATTCGCACATCAGAAATTAAACATGCTAAATCAGACATGCTAATGCATGACATCAGATTCAGACTGGCAAATGTAATGACATCTGAAATTAGACATGCTAAATCAGACATGCTATTAGTACATCAGAAATCAGACGTGCTATTAGTACATCAGAAATCAGACATGCAATTAGCAAATCAGAAATCAGACATGCTATTAGCACATCAGAAATCAGACATGTTAAATCAGACATGATATTCGCATATCAGAAATTAAACATGCTAAATCAGACATGCTAATGCAATGACATCAGATTCAGACTGGCAAATGTAATGACATCTGAAATTAAACATGCTAAATCAGCCAAGCTATTAGCACATGCTATTAGTACATCGGAAATCAGACATGCTAAATCAGACAAGATTTTCACACATCAGAAATTAAACATGCTAAATCAGACATTCTGTTGGCACACCAGAAATCAGACATGCTGATGCAATGACATCAGAAATCAGACATTCTATTAGCACATCTGAAATCAGACATGCTATTAGCACATTAGAAATCAGGCATTTTACATCAGGCATGTTAAATCAGACATTCTATTAGCACATCAAAATCAGACAGGCTAAATCAGGCATGCTAATGCAATAACATCAGATTCAGACATGCTTATGAAATGACAGAATCAGACACTACTGCATAAACATCAGAAATCAGACGCTAAAAGCACATTATAAATCAGACACACTAAATAACAAAGAAATCAGACAAGCTAAATCAGACATCCTAATGCAATGACATTAGAAATCACACATGCAACAGCAATGACATCAGAAATCAAACATGCTATTATATTAGCACATCAGAAATTAAACACGGTAAATCAGACATGCTAATGCAATGGCATCAGATTCAGACATGCTAATGCAATGACATCATAACATCATCAACAATGTCTGACATATGATTTCAAATGCATGCCAAAACAGATGTCAGTCAGTATATGTGATTGTGTCAAATTTGTAATTTTTTGTATTCAGATGTCTGATTTCACTGCATGAGGGAGATGTGTGATTGCACTAAATGGCGAGTCTGATTTTAGTGTATAGAGGATGTCTGATTTCATTCCATGATTTGGCTGCATGCGATATTTAACTTCAGATAGTTTTGTCTGATGTCATTGCTGTTTGGTTTATTGTATGGAGTTTCTAATGTCATTACAGCAACTGAAAATCAAATCAGACAATCAACAGATATTAGAAATTAGACATGTGCTGAAATCATATCACATGCATCTGTAAGCAGATATGTCATGCATTCACATATTAAAATAAGAGCAATAAAACACCATCGCCATGTGGTGAAATTATAAACTAGATTTAATCACATGCACTAAAATCATGATTGGAAATCAAATATGCCATGCAATAATAGAAAATCAGACATCATCTGCATTCAGTGAAATCACGTATCTACTGGAACTGAAATCAGACATAACACCTAATTATACAATGAAAATATACAATCTATGGAGTGAAATCAGACATCCCTTATGCACTGAAATCAATCAATGAATTTAACTTCACGTATTGTTTATCAGACAAAAAATCAGACATCCAGAACTTGATCAAATTAGAAATCAGATGCACTGAAATCAAAACACATGCTTCTGAAATCAGACATTGCAGCAATAATTTTAGCAACATAAATATCAGACATAATCACATGCACTGAAATCTCATATCCTGTGCATATTTAAAAGTCAGACAGTCAATATGCATTTGAAATCAGACAGTTTGTACAAAATCAGACATCATTCATTGAAATCATACATCTCAAATCATATTATCAGACATCAGACAAATCAGACATGATTTGTTGCATGAATCAAAGACAAATGCCATGCAGTAAAATCACCCTCCAACACAAAAAAAAAAAAAATGAAACGAAGGATGAAGTCAGACATTCATAACACATTTAAAATCAGACATGCCACATGATAAAATCAGAAATCATCCCCTTGGAATCACTGACCATCACGCATCCAAATTCAATTAAAATCAGACAGAGTTACATACAAATCATGCAACATGCATTTGAAAACAGAGTCAGAAAATCCATCCAATAAAATAATAAGCATTACATCCAATGCAACGCTACCAGAAAATAGAAACGCATGCAATGAAATCATACATCACTTTTTTTAAAAATCACGCAACTTATAAAAAATAAATACATTTTCAAATAAAAAATCATGCCATGCAAAACATCAATGACATAAAAACACAGAAATCATCTCCATGCAACCAAATCATGCATCCAAATACTAGTTAAAAAATCATAAAATGAATTAGAAATCATGCAATAGAAGTAAACATATCTTTATGATTTATGCAGTTGTTTTGTACTCATACAGAATTTTAAAAAGCACTGAAATCAGATATTGTATACTGACAACAAATGCCATGCAATGATATCAAACATCAATGCAATGACAAGAAAAATCAGACATACCATGAAATCATGCAAATTATATTAGGATCATGCCATGAATTAAAAACATGCAATAAAATTAAACAATAACAATCATGCATCTAATGCAGAAATCAAACATGCATTGAAATCAGAGATGCCATGCAGTGCATTGCAGTGCAATGGTTTCATACATCAGACATCAAATGAAATCATGGAAATGATATTAAAATCATGCAATGATTTAGAAATCATTCAATAAAAGCAAACACATGAAAAAGAATCAAGCATCTAAACAGAAATCAAACATTTACTGTAATCAGATATCCCATGCTAACAATTAATGCAATGACATCAGAAAATCAGACATGCAATAAAATCATGCATGAAACTAGCAATTAGAATGACATGACAGAATTCATGCACTCAAATCAGATGTAATGCAAACAACAGATGCATCACAGTAATAATGCATCCGATGCAGTGCTGTTACAAATCAGACCCAGGCCTGCACTCCAGCTGACATCATACACGCAGAGTAAACAATCACACGGCATGCACGTAAATCACACGGTCCAGGAGCAGTGTGTGTGCAACCGAAGTCAAACATGAAATTAACGATCAGAATGCACATGCAGTGACATCATGAAGGCCATGCACTGAAATCTGACGTCATGCAAACAACGAATGCATCACAGAAATCATGCAGCGCTGTTAGACATCAGACCCTGGCCTGCAGTCTAGCTTACATCAGACATGTAGAGTAAACAATCACACACACCGCGTGCACGCAAACCATTCCGGTGTGTGCAACCGAAATCAGACATAGAAATTAGCAATCAGCATGCACATGCAGTGACATCACAAAAGCCATGCACCGAAATCAGACGTCATACAAACAACAAATACATCACAGAAACCATGCAGCGCTGTTAGAAATCAGACCCAGGCCTGCTGACATCAGACATGCAGAGTAAACAATCACACACACACACACACACACACACACACACACACACACACACACCCCAAGCACGCAAATCACACGGTACCTGCTAGTGTTTGTGTATGTGTGTGTTTTGAGATCGGACTATCGTACCAGATGGAATTCTTGATCTTGTTGTACTGCAGCGCCGTGGCCTCGGGGCTCTGCAGGGACGCACCGGGAGCACCGGGCGGTTGTTGTTGATCATCGGCCATCACGGTGAGGAGGAGGAGGAGGAGCGGATGAGGAAGAGCGGCTCGGTTTCAGCCTGTAGGCCTCATCTGAGCGCATAACGCCCGCGGACGAGCACAGACGAGCCCTTACCGGGAGTGCGGACCGAGCAGACCGGCCCCGGAGCTCGGGCGCGGTCGCATAAACGGCGGCGGGCGAGATCACGGCGGAAAAACACGGAGATTCTCGGTGCCGCGGACAGAAACAGCAGCAGCCGCCACGGACCGAGCTGCAGGCGGGATCTGCGCATGCGCACGGGAGGCGCGTGCGTGAGTGCGCGCGACTGACTGTGTGTACTGTAACTGTGTGTACTGAAAATAACACTCGGAGAATAAATTAATCAATCCAAAACGTTTAATTAAATGTATAATTCTGTAACAGGATAAACAATACGTGAATAATCGGCGGTTCATTCTGCTGTGGTGACCCCTGATAAATAAGGGACTAAGCCGAAGGAAAATAATTGAATTTTAAATTGGTGTTTTTATATGATATACAGTACATAAATACCATATAACATTAATCTCTGGAAAAAATGTATTACAGTCAAAAGCAATACTGAAGGACTTCATCTGAAACGAGTATTGGTATACTATAGTTAGCCGCCAAATGTGGTATTACCATGGTACAATTTGGGAAGTTATTAGTGTTTTGGTTGTACTTTTCTTCTTGGATGTGTTTCTCCACACTCTCAGAAAAAAAGGTACACGGTGGTACAAATAATGTTCCTTGAGGGCCAGTTTTGTACCTTTGTAAAAGTTGTACCTTATATAGTAGAGAAAAGACCTCTTATGATACTGTTCTGTAGCTTTTATGGTACAATTCAAATGAAGGTACAGAACTGTTCTCATGAAAAGGTACCCTCTCAGAAATAAAGGTACAGGAGCTGTCACTGGGGCGGTACCTTTTCAAACGGTACATATTAGTAACTGAAGGGTCCATAATGGTGCTTCAGAGGTACATTTGGGTACTAATATGTATCTTTAGAAAAGGTACTGCTCCAGTGACAAGGGTTTGCACCTTCTTTGGTACAACATTGTACCATTTTTTCTGAGAATGCATCAGGTGTATGGTACAAACACAGTACTATTAAATGTTAATCAAAGGCGGCAACACCAAAGGCTCCAAAAATACAAACTTATTAAATTAAAAAGGCTGACACAGAGCTGTAACATTTCGAGCCACCCGGATCTTCATTGTAACGTGGCTCGAAACATTACACGCTCTGTGTCAGCCTTTTTAATTTAATACATTTAGCCTCAGCTAAATGTATCATTTAGCGACAGCACTACCTACTGCACCACTGCGTCGCCCAGATTAATATTAAAGTAAACAAGTGAATAAAAGACTGTAAATATGATATGGTTGTTAGACTCTTGCACTTGTTTGTGTTGTCACCATGCTTGTATTTATATAGTCCTACTGATTTGTGTGCAACATTTGTACATTTATAACCCCCTCAGTGGAATTTGGGGCTCGTGAGTCACTGCCATTGTTATTCGAGGGGTCGCCGGCTGAAAAGTTCAGGAACCCCTGCTCTAGTTGAAACGATACACGTAAAAACTATAATAAAATAAACGTATTCAACTTTTAAACTGGCGACACAGTGGCGCAGTAGAAACAAGAACAGCAAAAAGGTCGCTGGTTCGAGTGCCGGCTGGGTCAGTTGGTGTTTCTGTGTGGAGTTTGCATGTTCTCCCCGTGCTGGTGTAGGTTTCCTCCGGGTGCTCCAGTTTCCCCCACAGTCCAAACACATGCGCTGTAGGGGAATTGAGTAGGCTAAATTGGCCATAATGTATGTGTGAATGAGTGTGTGTGTGGATGTTTCCCAGTGATGGGTTGTGGCTGGAAGGGCATCCGCTGCTTAAAAACCTGCTGGATAAGTAGGCGGTTCATTCCGCTGTGGCGACCCCGGTTTAATAAAGGGACTAAGCCGACAGGAAAGTGAATGAATGAACTTTTAAAACAAAGTTGGCGGTTCATTCTGCTGTGGCGACCCCAGATTAATAAAAGGACTAAGCCGAAAAGAAAATTAATGAATGAACTTTTAAACAAATGTTAATGTTAATGACCAACTAAACTTCTCTGACCACATTTCTAGAACTGCTCGATCGTGCAGATTCGCACTCTATAACATCAGAAAGGTTCGACCCTTCCTATCTGAACATGCAGCTCAACTCCTTGTTCAAGCTCTTGTTCTCTCCAAACTGGATTACTGTAACTCTCTACTAGCCGGGCTCCCAGCTAACTCTATCAAACCTCTTCAGCTGCTCCAGAACGCAGCAGCACGAGTGGTCTTTAATCAACCTAAACGAGCACATGTCACTCCGCTGCTCATCCGTTTGCACTGGCTGCCAGTTGCTGCTCGCATCAAATTCAAAGCTCTGATGTTTGCTTACAAAGTGACTTCTGGCCTTGCTCCTTCTTATCTGCTCTCGCTTCTGCAGATCTATGTGCCCTCCAGAAACTTGCGTTCTGTGAATGAACGTCGCCTCGTGGTTCCATCCCAAAGAGGGAAGAAATCACTTTTGCGAACGCTCACGCTCAATCTGCCCAGTTGGTGGAATGAACTCCCTAACTGCATCAGAACAGCAGAGTCACTCGCTGTCTTCAAGAAACGACTAAAAACTCAACTATTTAGTCTCCACTGCACTTCCTAATCTGCAATTGCCTCTCTGAATATCACACTAACTGTACAAAAAAAAAAAAAAAAATACTACTACTACTAATACTTATCTTCTTAGACTTTACAGACCTGAAACTTGCCTATAGCACTTATTCATTGTTGCTCTTAGTTGTGTAAATTGCTTCCTTGTCCTCATTTGTAAGTCGCTTTGGATAAAAGCGTCTGCTAAATGACTAAATGTAAAATGTTAATGTACACTCTCAGAAATACAGGTACACGTGCTGTCACTAGGGTGGCACCTTTTCAAAAGGTACACATTTGATTATAAAATGTCCATATTAATACCTCAAGGGCACATATTAGTACATAAAAAGTACAAAAGTGTTCCTCTTTCAATGTTTAGGTACTAATATATACTTTTAAGGTACCAATATGGGAACTTCAAGTACAAATGTGCTCCTTTTGAAAAGGCACCACCCCAGTGACAGCTCACGTACCTTTATTTCAGACAGTGTAAGGAAGATAAACCATATTGGTGAATAGAATTAATAAAAAAAACTTGCTAAATCTTTTTGTTTAATAAAAAAGACCCGTTTAAAATGATTTAATATTATATTGCAGTGAATTTAAGACATTTAAGGCCTAAAAACAAGACTTTTTAAGACCCCACCGACACCCTGTTATAAAATAACACATTAATGTGTATGCTTTTGATTTAATTATTATTCTCGCCAGTCATACAGTCACATTTACTTCAGCATATGGCAACAGATGCTGACAGAACCAAATGCTAAAATGAATATTTTCTTCTTCAAACATGCCAGCGGAGCTATTTAAACCTCAAGCTTGAAGCTAAATTCACAAAATAAAGAATAAAATAACTCAACAGCGCCCTCTGCTGCTGACACACAGTATAAACACAGTCCTCTTGTCCAGTGATTCTCAAAGTGGGGGTCGCTTGGTGATTTCCAAAATTCAAATAAATCTTATTAAACTGTTAGAATTACCATATTTTACCATAACCCACAGAAGAAGGTTAATAGTTGCATTAAAGAAACAACAACATGCAAATTAAATCAGCCATCAGCCTTTAATTTTTATATTAAAATGTAATCAAATTAATAATTGACCATAAAAATCATGATCTGGTTAATAGACTGTTGCAGTTTTGTGTTGTCAATATGCTCATGTTTATATTTGCCTATAGTTTTGTCTGCAACGTTTATATATTTACAGAATAACCACCTTGAGAAATGGAGGTCGCGAGTCACTGACATTGTTATTTTGGGGGCCGCTTTTGGGCTGAAAAGTTTGGGAACCCCTGCTCTTGTCTGGTGAGTTCATTGGATCTACAGCGCCCTCTGCTGGTGACTTACACAATGTAAACAGTTCTCAGTCTTGTAGTGCTATTATCAGCTCTATCGCTGGACCTACACAGCACAGCAGATTATAGTTGTGTGCTGTTGCCCTCTGCTGGTCAGATACTATATCACAACATCTGAAATTGTATTGTTTGACCTCTATTTGTTTTATTCATTCATTATTATTTTTTAAAACATGTGTTTTTGTCAACTTTGTTGTGAATCACTTAGAAAAAACTACTTTTAAAGGCGCCATATAACATTTATGTTTTATTATTAAAATTATTATCTGTGTTAAAACACTGTATATGTTGCAAATTGCCTTTTGGAAACTATTAAATTCACTAAAACTGATATGGATACAAACATATACATACTAATACATACAAATAATTAAATACAAAGGCAAAATATACAAATATGAAAATAAAAGCAATTCAAACACAACTCATCCTAAATAAGTCAGTATCAAGGAGCTTCTCCGACAGATGTTGTTTCTATCAGAAAGGCTCCTTGATTTTTGACCTAATGAATTCATTAAATCTAAATATAGAGTGAAACAGAAAAATATTAATATACACTCACCGGCCACTTTATTAGGTACACCTTACTAGTACTGTGTTGGACCCCTTTTGCCTTCAGGACTGCCCTAATCCTTGCTGGCAGAGATTCAACAAGCTACTGGAAATATTCCTCAGAGATTTTGCTCCATATTGTCATGATAGCATCACACAGTTGCTGCAGATTTGTCGGCTGCACATCCATGATGCCAATCTCCCGTTCCACCACATCCCAAAGCTGCTCTATTGGATTGAGCTCTGGTGACTGTGGAGGCCATTTGAGTACAGTGAACTCATCGTCATGTTCAAGAAACCAGTCTGAGATGATTGAGCTTTATGACATGCTGCGTTATCCTGCTGGAAGTAGCCATCAGAAGATGGAGACACTGTGCTCATAAAGGGATGGACATGGTCAGCAGCAATACTCAGGTAGGCTGTGGCGTTGATGCTCAATTGGTACTAATGGAGCCAAAGAAAATCCCCCCCACACCATTACACCACCACCACCAGCCTGAACCGCTGATACAAGGCAGGATGATCCATGCTTTCATGTTGTTGAGGCCAAATTGTGAGCCGAGCATCCGAATGTGTCAGCAGAAATGGAGACTCATCAGAGCAGCAACGTTTCTCCAATCTTCTGTTGTCCAGTTTTGGTGAGTCTGTGTGAATTGTAGCCTCAGTTTCCTGTTCTTAGCTGACAGGAGCGGCACCCGGTGTGGTCTTCTGCTGCTGTAGCCCATCCGCCTCAAGGTTGGACGTGTTGTGTGTTCAGAGATGCTCTTCTGCAGAGCTCGGTTGTATCGAG